TTTTTTTTAAAAGATTATAGATACCTAATGTTTTTCTTTTACGTATAAACAAAGCTCAAACTATATTTCACTTTAAAATAATAACTGAAGAATAATACATTGAAAGCATGTTATTACTTAAACGTAATTGTGATACGAAATATTTTGTTCCTTAGTGATATGTGAATGTGCAAAAAAAACCTTTTTTTTTAATGAAGTAAGAATGATTAAAATTTATGGAACGGAAAGTAAGAAATAATTGAATAGAATCATTTTTTTTCAACGCAGTAGTTATCATCAAATGGTTAAACTTGTATAAACGGCATAAAAGAAATAATAACAGTAATTTATATTTTTTGTTATGCTGCAATGGTTTTATTGAACTCCGTTGAATTGTCCAGGAATAAGTATAATACCTATTATCTATTTAGACTATATAGTCTATTGAGTCGTTTAAATGAAGTCGGACAACAGTGTTATAAGAATATAAATACAGTTTCTATTAATTACATATATATATTTTTTTTTTGTTAAAAAAAGAAACTTATTGAAAATACAATATAGATTCGACACCAATTCAAAGGTAATTTGAGGAAAAATAAGAGTGTACCATTTTCATTTAATTTCACGTTGATTAAAAACCGTAAAATGCTATAATATAAATTTGAAACGGCGTGCTCAATATCAAATTATTTTTAAGTCATTTATTATATCCAATATAACTTAAAAGTTCCGTTATAGAATTTATTGATAAACACTTATTTTATATGAACTAACTTATGAACCTCTAATATGATGTTATATGTACTCTTTTATGCCTATATTATATACATACTAACAATACTAATTACATATATATATATTTTTTTTTTTAATAATATATTGGACCGGATAGTGACTCGGGGCTACAATAGCATTTCGTACTTATACATATAAATATAATAATTACGGTGTTGGTACTATAGAAAACACACCTACACGGCGGATATAAGAGACACATTAAGAATAATGTAGAATGCAATAATATAACATACCTCAAAGTACATTTATAATATCTGTTATTAAAGCAGCCTACCGCGGCGGCAACATTGCGTACATTATAATTTATAATATTATCTTCTCCGGATATGTTCAAATCGTATTTCCTTAAACAACGGCTATAGACGGTACGCACACACACACAAATTCATTGTTGTATCGACAGTAAAGACTAAAAAAAACTGCCCTACACTTAGGTTAAGCAGTTATCGATATAAAAGGGAGGCTTTCACGGTACACAAGGAATGGAAGTATGTTATGGAATTTGAGTAGAACGTTTTCTAATATACTTATTTAGCTTCGATGTACTCAGCAATGTAAAATAAGATATTTTAATAGAGCAGTCTAATATTTCACTTTTTTTATTTAGCAAGAAAAAAGTATCAATGTTATCGCAACCGAATATATCATATAATAAATAACAATATTTTGTTAACAGGAAAGCCGTTCGACCAAGGAGTTATACTTGAATTTTTTTTCTTCTTTCAACTTTGATGGTTTGTTGTAATATAATTTTTTTTTTTTGCCGTTCCGAAAAGGTTTCTGAGTTAATTTGCGTAAAATTAAAACATTAATATCTCTATTAGGTGGCGGATTGTGAGTAATTTATTACACCCCACAGTGGTTTTATGCGTTGTGTGCTGGCCGGTTCTTTGTAATCCCATAGCGAACGGCAATATAATATTGTACTGTATTCATAAACGATTTTTTTTTCGCGGAGCCAACGCCCGTACAAGCGTGCAATGCTCGTAAACAAAATGAAGTCGTAAACGAATATTGAATTTTAAAGGGCGAAATCTCGAATGGCAACATCAAATATCGGTTCAAAATAATTAATTCAGACAGTTTCTAAAATGAAACGCACAAGCAATTACCTCATGCCAGGCACGATGTTTTGTTTTATGACACTCGCCAGTATTAAAAGAATGAAAACAAAAAAAAAAGTACTCAAACTTGAAATGACACCTAGATTTTATTGTCTTAACCGATTATCAGAACGCTAACTTCGACGCTAGTCGATTATTAGAATATATTATTGTTGAATATTATGATTGATCGTCAGTCGTCACAAAAGTGTATTCGCTGCTATTCGGTTCAAACGAAAATAGTTTTCTAGTGAATTGTAAAAACAAATATTTTAAAAGCATTTGTAATAATGTAGGTACCGAGTGTAATTTTCGATTGGCCGTCAATCATGTATAGCGACCATCGCTCCACGGTCAAGTGGTGAAGATTCCGAAAACTATCCGTTTCATTAATATTTTACATATTACTTTTATACTTGTAACGTCACGCTACCGCTTTGTTTTAAGTATTTCCAATAACGCGTTATGCTTACTATCCGGTTGAAAAAAATATATATATAATATTTTAAACAAATCATTAATTTAACGAGCGCGTTTTCCTGCCGTCCGTTATTTGTTAAGTTAAATGATGTGTAATTAATTTCCCGCGGGTTCACCGTTGTGTAAGTACAAGTATGATGACTTAATCAGTAATGTACACACATACATAACACGGACCTCGTCAAATATAAACATTGTGTTATCCTCGGTTAAGCGCGTACTGCGTACACGAGTTATTGGTGTTTTAATTGTTTTTTGTTGTATATTGTTAAGCGCTCGAGTATTTGACCAAAGCGAGTAGTTGGTTATAACACCAGAAAGGTCGTATAATAATTAGAATCCACAAGAAAGTAATGGCTTAGAGGCTGAACTCTAAAATACTTTGAATACCTTTCGAGTGCTCAATACTGAATACTAATAAAGAGTAAAAATGTATGTAAGTAACTATACATAAACTAAAGTCATCGTTTAAACGATAATTTGTTAACGCTAACCGCGTTAGGTAATATGTTGGGGTTCCGGGAACTATGTTTTTGCTGTCATGCATGTGTTTGGTCTAGGAAATTGTCGGCCAACCGGGCTTTACTGCAAGTCGAACTCGATCGAAAAAAAAAGTTCTGTCAAGACTCCAGGCTTGGTTTCTAACAACTGCACGATATTGGAATTAGTAGTGTCATAATGAATATTGTAGAGTACAAAAATATTATTGATTTCTAATAATTATTATTGTGTTTTAATACAATTTGAAATAGTTAAGATTTTAGAAGAAAAAAGCTGGACTGGAGTATTTATAATAAAGTAGTATTACCAGAGCTTATAAGGATAACTCAACAATTATATTTAAATACAAATAGAAAAAACGATTTAATAATACTTCTGTTTAGTTTAAATTACCATAATCAGCGAAATATAAAAAAAAGGCAAAAGTAACGAGCCTTAAATGGCAAATTATATAGTCAAGCAATGTTTTGACCTCAATACAAAGATGGTCGTCACTGATTAACATTATATTACATTAATTTTTAATCATAATTTAATAGAGGTTACAATGATAATAATTATTGATGATAATGTATTATCTGTGCATTATTTTAATGCTACTATTAAATGAACATCGTATTATGGGTTGACCTGTTTTACACATTGTATTTTATATTAACTTATAATTAATTATAATACTCAATACATAATTTCTAAAACAATTTAGAGGGGATTTGGCTTGAAATTTTAAAATTGCTAGTATGAAAATAATAACCGATTACTCTCAAGCTGCTAGACTGAATTACAAGTGTAGTAAGAATTAAAATTCTTGAAGACCATTACATTTATAATATTATCTATATAGATCCACACGTCTGTACAATGGTACGTTAAAATAATATTTAGGATTAATTGCCGCACCCATCTTCAGAGCTCAGCTCACTCGAACTTATTCTCCAGATTACGACAACACTGATCAGTACCAAGCTCTGAAGATGTAATCTGAAATTACAATTCACAATTTATTAAGCCTGTTAAAGAATCCTAAAATAATCAAAACGAATCCGTCTTGTCCATTTAATTTTAATAAGTTAAATTTATCTTTGGGTTTTAGGCAACACCTAAACAAAAATATAATATATATGTTTATAAAATAAGATCATTGGTATTAGCGTTTAAAAATGTTTTACACATTCACATATTAAGATCAAGTGGGACAAATGTAAATTTTTTTTTTAATAAAGTAACCGTCATTTTTCAATTTTAACCAAATACTGTCATCTGTGGTATTATGTTAATGTATTAAATTAATATAAATTTAATTTGGTTCTTTCTTAACCCTCCGTGGACAAAGTGAGGCGAATACGACGCCAGAATTAATTTTTTTTGTGGCCGTATTCGCCCCATCCTGTAAAAAAATGTATTTAGGTACATTTGCCTCGTTCGTTTACATCAGCCATTTGAACTAAACGCATTTATTTTTAATGTATATAGACTATTAATGCAGAAACGTAACTCCAAGGTTTTTTATTGAGATTAGTGAAGTCCGAGACTAAAGTCTTAAAAAAAAAATGTTTCTATTAGATATTTAATAGTTTTTGCTTAATGGTTTTTATCAACAAAATACATTTTTTTTTAAACCGTAAAAGTCATTATTTGTAAACATTACAACTTGAAACACTCGCGAGTTAAATCGACTGTATCAAGTTGAAATTGTGCATTTAATTGCCCACGTTTGCCTCATCCGTGTCGGTCAATAATTGCCGACGGTAAATCGTACATACAATATTATAATGGGTAAGTACGCCTACGTTATCGTTTTTTAAACATGATATTTTATTATAATAATATGTGTATGTAAATCGATTAATTATTACCTTGTATTATTATTATTATAGTTATTGGGTAATATATTATTATGGCCGCAGCGAAACAATGGAAATTAGCGTCGACTAATGAATGGAAATTAATGCCAATTAATGGAATTTGACAATGGCGGCGGCGGCGGCGACTGTACCACACACACAGGTGGACTCCGGTGGCCGTCGTCTTCGGGGTGGCTCGGACGCCGCCGGTACCGACCGTGAATCATCTGGGTACGGTGCGGCCGCCGCCGTTGCAGCTGCACGCACCGCCGCCGGTTAGTGGTGCTAGTGCGGTTGCTGGTGTCGGATGTCTACGTGTGTGTGTCGGTCGTCTCCAGCGTTGTGTTGTGCACCGGAATAGGATATTTTGTCATATTGTTATCACGAGCCAAAACCGCAGCTGCACGTTGTTTTCGCACGATAAACCCGCGGCCGATACACTCGCCGAACTACTACAAAGTAAAATACATTATCGCCGACGGTACCTACGCGCCATGCAAACGTTAAGTTGTACCGCTGGTCACTGACATCCCAGACCGCGTGTTAACTTTGAGTGTCTGAACTTGTGACTTGCGTCCGATTTCGTCGTTGGTCGTACTCTTGCGTGTGAGTGTGTGTAATTATTCGCGTAACTCACGACAACGATATATTATCATTATCATAACAATGGAAACCGTCGCGTTATCACAAGCGAGAATGAGACGCCGGCTCTGCGTCGGACGCGGCGTCTCGGTCGTGTCGCTGCTTCTGTTGGCGTCCGCCTTGGCCGCCAACGCCGCACAGCCACCGCCGCCGCCGCCACCTTGTTTCCGGACGTCCAACTACTTCCGGACGCACTTCAACGACACGTCCAACGTACTCGACAAACCAGCATCGAGTAAGTACTTTAGAATATAGGGTGGATTAAATCAGAGTGGGCACTTCATTATGCTAACAATGATTTTCGGATGGAAGCCGCCATCTTCTCATTTACCCTAAAGTTTTATCTACACACAATCGATGTACAGTTAGCATCATACTGATTGTTAAATGAGAAGATGGTCGCCACGATTTTTAACGATAAGTATAATATTCGCCGTGTTAAATTTTGATAGTGTCCACTCACTTAATTTACACTAATTTTGTGTTTTAGTAGAATAGACTGAATATTATAATAAAAAATATTGCATTGCTGTTCTACAACACCGAACACAGTCTGAGCGTTCATCGATCTCGGTTTCCGAAATCGTCATTGCTTGGGGTGGCGCGTGTATAATTTTAAAAGGGTGACAGTTTATTACCGCGTTTCCGGTCCCTCGCCACGAGGCCCTTGCAGTAGTTTTTCGCACCAACCTCCTCTTCCCCTCTTGCTGTTATGATATGGTAGCTGTTGCACGAAAAATCGATTCAATCGACGACCACGCGCCGGCCAATGTTGTACATCACCCCTCTCCTCCCAACAACACGTTAGTGTTTTTTTCAGTTTTGCCTTTAGATGCCCGTAAAAAGATGATATAGGTTTTCGTGAAGGCTGTATTTAAAGGGGGCGGGGGTAACTACCCCCTGTTGCTCCGGGCGGAAAATACAAGAGCCATGCATTTTTTAAGGAACGATAATCTCTGGTTTTCGCCGTTGCTGATGAACTCGAATGAACTCTCCACTCGGATCGCATTTTGTACGATCGACAACTACGCGAGATATAATAATAATAATAATAATACCTAGGTACGCCTGGCGTATTATGTGTAAAAGAATACCGCCATAGACGAATGCTTTAGTTGTCTCTTTTTTTCCCTCACAACATCCAGTGTGAGTGGTTAATTGCACGGCTTAAGGGTTTCTTTTTTCTCACCGTTTACTGTTGAAAAGGTTAAAAAATGTCTGTGTTTTTTTTAAATTTGTCATCGTTATATTATTGAGCATGCTAATTAAAGGATTAAATACAGTGGCAGCTGCGGTCGACGTTCGTTAGTGTTTAATAATATAATTACCACAAAGATAAACATGAAATATAAAAATACAATATATTATCATTTTTATACTTCGTCGTACCTATCATAAAAAATATTTTTTTCTTTTGATTTTACTGATAACAATTCTTTTCGTTTACAAGAGTTATTAAACAATAATATTCAACTTCACCTCGATGTTAACCCTAGAACGGTCATTGTTGTATTTGTTCCAGTTATCACATGTGTATTTTAGTAAAAAAATCAGACTATGTTAAGCTTAAAAAACAGTCTCTTTAAAAATAGTTATAATTATTCAATATTTTAAAATGTTTTTCATACAGTGGAAAATTAACGGGGAAAAGAGATTTGTACCTTTTCTTGTAACATAAATACTTATTAAAATATGGCTTTCTGTAGATTAGCGTACTTTATACGAAAAAGGACAATGAATGGGAAACGCATATTAATACGATTTAGTACTTAGAGATGATTCGGTACGGGATGGCCTTTTAACATGCTGTGTGCAGGACAGCTATAGTAGGTATTATAGAGTTTATCGCCGCATGTGTGTCTTATAAATTAAACAATTAATTTGTTCGGTCGATAGCGGACCCGTTATGAGGTTTGGGATGCAGCTGACCTGCCAGTTATTTTCTCGCGACGAATTTATGACTTCCGAAAAAAAAATTGTTTCTTTATTTCCTTAGTTCAGTTACATTTTAAATATTTTTTCCTTCCTCTGTTACGAATAGACTCTGGCAATGAGTCCTATTCTAACCCTTTTAACGACTTGCAGTCATGATTATCTCCGAGATTCTTGTTCGATTTGTCAATAATGACTTAAAATTGTGCAGTACAAAAAATCGTAACCATTTGAGTTTGTTGTTTAACTTTTGTTTACACATGTAGAGATTTGTTTGTTGGAACCCATTCAAATACAGTTCCATAATGTTGGCACGATATAATGCATAAATATTCGATGAATGGATTCTCTACCTATTCTATGTAATGTACCGTGCTGTATAGTCTTGTAGGCGGTTGTAAACTGCAGATCTCGTTGGTTATCAATCATCGCCGTATGTTTAGACCATAATACATAGCGCGGCAAGATCCCTCAGTAGGCTAATTAAACGTCCTAATATATTCTATCGTCTTTTTCTCATTCATTCTTTCTTTGTTCGTTTGAAAGGAGTTAATGTGTTAGTAAATTACTGTCCGTGTATCTCGGACAGTTCGGGACTATAAACAAGTATATTATATATATATTTTAATTTATTCCTGTCTATTTATATAAACAACGGGCAAAACGGCCGCAACCGACCACAAACACGTTTAATATGTAAACACACTATGCTTTACAGACCGTTTGATGGCTACGGGTACTGCGATTGTGGTATAGACCGGTGGACGACCACAATATAATCAGATCACACAGCATTGGCCACTTAATTATAGCTTTATGACTATGAGGCTTCTTTATAAGCAATTGGCAGCGCTTTTCTAACGATACGAGTTCTGCGGTGAACCTAAGCACGATCAATAACATATAGGGGCATTTATAAATACACCCAGTAGAACCGACCGCATGTTAGCCGACTTACGCAGTGGCTTACAAATAATACCATTTCAATCACATAGACGTTAGTCTGAACAAATGAAATGTTGAAATTTTATTGAAACCATCGAGCAGTTGTTGGGTAATTAGGTGTTGACGTAAGTTATGAACGTACCTCGGTTCAATCGATATTATACCTGTTATCGTCGAGATAACAACCCACGAGAAAAACAATACAATAATGAAACAAAAATAACTCGAGTAAATTTTCTTCCTATCCTTCCCCTCTTATTCATTAGCCGCGTTTGTTTCTCATTAACTGTATAGTACCTACAGCATTATAATATATGATCCCAGTTTGCCTTCGCCGTTCTTCGTCTCTTATCTATGTTATACACCGTGCCAACGACGGTTTGTTCAACAATGCTCACACATACATGCTCGAAGAGCCAGACAACAGTGTCTTGGGAACAAAACCATCGGCGTGGAATGTTCCGTCTTCGAATATAATATGTATTGGCTGGCAAAACGTGTATTTTACTAACCGCGGTAGGTGTAGGGGGCGGCAGAAAGGGTTTACTCTACAGGAATCATATAGGTATACCAACCATAATAATAATATATATATAGCTGAGAGAAAAAGGACCGAACGAACGCATAGGGTAGGATTAATTTAATAGTGATTTACATATAATTATAATATTATTATAAAACAGCGGGCCGCGTCGAGTGTCTACTAAACTCTTAAGCATAACTAATCTTCAACCCATAACAATATGTTTAACAATAATATGGAAGTATTTCCATAAAAATATATATTCGGTGGCGCAATAAATTCGGCTCCGAAACATTTTTCAACCTCGTTTAATATAATATGTTTTATTCTTAAACTCGTGCAATTGTCTAAAGCGGCCAAAAGTCATAATATTTTCGTTTCAAACGTTTCACTACTGTAAATTTATCATGCCGTGTCTACTAATACCCTAAACTTTTTTCTACTAATACCCAAGTTTAGGCCAACAATCTACAGGAGTTTACTTTTACAGATTACACTCGAACTCTGTATACGGTATTTACAAGCATCATAGCTCTATATATTATAACGCGTAAACTGGCATACACATATTATTACAACTGTCTGGAAGCAGAAAGTTAAAAGTAAAAAAAAAAAGAAAAAGATTAACTCTCAGAAAAGCTTCCGCACATAAATATAACCAAAGGCGGATACGGGAAAGCCTTAAAGATTTGTGTATCGTCTCCTCAGGAAATCGGATCGTTATTTCAATTTTATGTGTGCATGCACGGAAATTACGTGGTCGGTAAGCATTAAACCATTTTTGTAATACCTTCAATAGTTCCCGGTGTATAAATGTCCCACCGTGTGCTGTATTATAAATCATTTTTAAAAGTCGCATCTCGGCGGATAATAGCAGATTTAAAATGGGTGCCATCTTCATAATAATAATAAGAAAGAGCAGTTACACGTGCACGCGCACAAAAGAAGATCATTCGTCCTGACTCCTGAGCGATGATGATAATAATAATAACAATAATATTTTATATTGTAAAACAAAATATTGTTCGTCGAAATTAAAAAAACTACATGCCGCCGCGGCGCGCACATTACAATTGCTCTTCGTGAATACAATCAACATTTCATCGTGTCTTTTATATTATGTTTATAATAATATAGAACAACAATTAGGGATTGAACCCGAGGCCGAGGCGCCCTATTCAGTAGGTCGTAATGAATACAAATTAAATCACATGCATTTATTGCTGCCTACGTTATACTTCCAACGGTGTATATCAAACCGCCGAGACGTTTTTTTATCCTTTGCTAGCACATATTATGGTTGTATAGAACATTTTGGACTCAGCATTATTGTACCGGTATAGCGTTGAAATAGATCATATTTTTGTGAGCTCCTGACGAGGAGCGTTTTCTTTTTAATCGTAAACCTCTTTCATTACATTTTACTTTTCGCTTTGATACAATTGCCTCGACCCCATTGGCGTCTATCCTATAAATGCGTGGTTGGTACTAAAGGTGGGTGGAGGGGGTCCTCTACTTTGCATTAAATGTTTTAACGCTTAGCTATAATAATATGTAAAAGTACTGTCTATTGAAATTTAGGGGACCTTCGAAAACTTATATGTAATTTTTATGAGACGTTTTCGCCTGTCTGGGAGATAAAATAAAAACATTGTAGTTTTAATGGATTTTAAGTGTATACTATTGACCTCGGCGGTCGGACGCAGGCGGTAAGTACATTTTTCTCGAAAACGTGCAAACCGAAGATTGTGTTAGTATCTTCGCGACGGACTAATGAGCTGCGTGATGTTTATTGACAATCGAGTTTGCCTGAGGAATTTTCGTAAAACCGCGTG